TACAGTTAGGTATTCAAATATGAATCTTTTCTCTCCACCCAGATACATTTCGCAAATGCAAGTAATTCCCATAAGTTTTTTAGTCATACAAGCGCACTTAAATCACATTTGTTGACACATAGCCGGTTTGCTGCGCTGCTGTTGCTCAGCGATAGCTAGGATGGGTTGTGACAGAAACAACAGCAACAGCAACAGCAACAACAACAATAATAAAGAGCAGAGCAAGTCCGCAAGAAACATCTGCAACATCTTTGTCTTAGGTTAGTTACTTACACGGCCCACACGATGTAGGCGGCCTTTGATAGAAAGCCCATTTTGTAGCGCGCCCAGAGCCTTGAGCACAGACTGGTTGAACATGCCGTTGGAGGCTTGAGATTCTTTCAGAACTGTTCGTAGCACCAATTAAACTGACAGCAACAAAACATATGACATATAACAAATAACAAAAAAGATACAAACGCACAGTTTTCAATTTTAAAGCTAGCTAATTCTCCTTAACGTATTTATTTATGATTTATTTATGTTTTATTTATTTTTATTTTTTATTTTTTCTTTTTTCGTATTTAACTTTTGCCTCTGACACTGCCGCGACTTTTGCACGCGCTGACTGTTAAAATGCTTCTGTTGTTGTTTTTGTTTTTTACTGTTCAAAGAGGCGCGCGAAATTGAACGAGCACAAACTGGGAATTAGTATCGAAATCGGAGTTGGAGTTTGAGTTGGAGTTGGAGTTGGAGTTGGAGTTGGAGTCGGAGTCGGAATCGGAGAATCAGAGTTTTTCTGCTGGTTGCCCGGCGTATTTGTGAACTCGAATAGCGAACGCAGAATGGATGTGTTTGTCTAGCGCCCAACTCATAAATATGAAATTGAAAATGGAATTAAGCGAGCGCACAAAATATACAACAACAACAACAGCAGCAGCTAGAACAAGAACAACAACAACAAACAACTCTACAAACCAACTGAGCAGCAGCAAAGAAAATTATTTAATTGATATTTTTGTTTTGTGTGTGTGTGTGTGCCGAAGTGCAACCGAAGCGCAGCCGAGCAATTGCCGAACTTTAAATTCTGCTGCTCCGGCGTCGACAGCTGATTTAAGAAGCCAATAGACACTGTCGCAGCCGACGCTAACGCTGACGCCGACGCCAGCGCTGACAGCGATGTCAGCTGCGACGGCAGCTTTGGCTTTGGCTTTGACTTGCGAAGGGCTGCGCCTGACTCACTGCTGGTGCACTTTGATTACGTTTGCTTGCAGCGACAGAGCCAAGGCTGGGGTTGGGACAGGGGCTGGGGCTAGGGCTAGGGCTGCGGCTGGGGCTTAGGCTGTGTGCATTGTTGACGACTGTGGCATTGGTCATGGTTATTGCTGTGGCTGATCAGGCGATCGCCGGCTGTTATTGGGCCGAGTCGGGCTGGCTTGCTGGTTGGCGGGGCGGGCAGAGTTTCAGCCAAAAGGCGCGTCATGCTTTTAGCACGCCTAATAATTGCTGCAACTGTGTGTGCTCAAAGCCCAACAAACCCAATGAACTGTAAACCATGCGGGACGATGACGACGACGACAACTAACTAACGGGCTAGATTCGCCTTTAATGGGTCAAATAACAAACACAACAAGTAGAAGCGATCTAACAGAAAAGACCCGACTAGCGGATACCCTGTATGCATGTACCCTGTATGCAAGCATGTACGAAATTTTGAATTGGAAGTTGGATTCCTCTTACATGTTTATTTTCTAATCTCTGTGAGCTTTATTTTATATTACATTTCAAAATTACAAATCCAACCGAGAAATATAGGACTCTCAGCTCGTTGTCCTGTTTGGGAGCATAGTTGGGGTCAAATATATATTTCCAACTGTCATTTGTAGAAAACATCATGCCCTGTATGTGCTTTTTCCATAGGCTAGGGTATGCATATAAATAGACCCTCGCGCAATAGCAATAACCGGGAACTGAAAGCTTGTCAACGCTTCAACGCTGCCCCAATGGTCATCATCACGATCGTGATCATGATTGTTGGCAGTAATGAAGATGACGTCGCTGCCACACCCCCGGTCAAAACCTAATATCCGAGAGTCAGAGAGCTGCAGCTGGAGCCGTCGCCGTCGCCGTCGCCATCGCCGTCGCCGTCGCCATCGCCGAAACCCTGCCTAGCCAATAAATTATGGTTTATTGGCAACGCTCATTTGTCGCAACGCCGAAAAAAACTCGAATCTGGGTTAAACTGCGTCGCGGCGCGTCTCCTCTTCAAGGGATTAGCACGAGAATCAAAGTGGATGTCGAAAATTAGGCACTTCTCCCTCTTAAAAGGGATCGGTTCAAGACACGCAACTTACATATGCACATACATGAGAGATATCCAATGGAATATCTCTAAAAACTCACTAAAGATTCAGGCACAGTGTGAGGGAAGATGAGAAGAGAAGATGAAGAGAAAGAAAGAGATAGACCATATAGAGATAGAGCGTGTGAGAGAGAAAGAGAGAGGGGGAGAGAGAGAGAGAGAGAGAGAAAGAGAAAGAGAGCGAGAGAAAAAAAGAGAAAGAATGAGAAAAGAAGCGCAAAGACAGAAACCGAAAAGAATAGAAAGAAAAGGCAGGAGAGAGAGAGAGACACAAAAAAGGAGAGAGAGAGCGCATGAAAGTAAGAAAAAGAGACACAGCCAGAGAAGGAGAGAGAGACAGAGCCGTTATTTTAGGGAGTTACTAAACTTCTTTTGGCAATCAGAACAATTAAATTTGAAATATATCTGTAAGCTATACGGAACGCAGAATATATTAAAATTGTGTATTTTTTGCTGTATAAATATATCTTCATTTTCACATCGAAATAATTATAAATAAATTATAAGAAGTTGAGAAATCAAAGATCAAAGATGCTGTCAAGATCATTCTTAGTTCATGTGGTTTATTTTGGAAATTCCACGCCTTTGCTTCGATCGATACTTCTTGATTTACTTGACTTAAGTCCGGGTTGAAGACTAAATCGGGTTAATTAAAATTTAATTTCGATAACAATTTGTCGCAACCAATACACTTTAATAACGGGAGCTTTTATTTAGTAGTATCTGCCTCTCTCTCTCTACGTTTCTCTCCTCTCTCTCTCTCTCTTTCTCGCAGTCTAGCTCAACATGTTTCTTTCTGCCTAGCTGCGACGCAAATAACTTTGCTTTCTCGGTATAAATACAGGGTATCACGCGTGAAATGTAATCTATATATCTATATCTATATATATATATATATACATATATATAGATAGAAATATATACATGACACAGTTTGTTAGGTTCCCTGCTAATCGATAACCAATTCAGTTGGGCAATATCTTGCTAGAGTCGGTTTCTTGGCTGTATTTATTAATTTGAAGAACAGTCTTATGTGGGACGATAGATCGGGTTATCGCACGTAGCTTGGCATATATAGCCGATAAGTAGCTGGCCTGCCCACTCCCACGCCGTGGCAATGCCAGCATGGATTTGGTCACCTGGTTGTTGGGATGCAATGGAGCGCGTTAATTTGTCTAATTGCCGCAATTATATCTCGCACAATTTCGATTTCGACTTCGATTTGTGGGACAGCCGCTTGACGCTGTCTTAGATTATGCCGGATAATCTGCGGCTTAATCTCTTAACAAGTTGTTAAGATTAAGGTCATGCGAAATGCATGTGAACAGTTCCTCAATACTTGTGGTTGAGTCAGCAATTTGAAGAAAGAAATATTGGCAATTAGTCAATAAATGTGGACTGGCTAATGCCTAAGGAGTTGAGCTGTCGAGGGAAATACGCTCAATTTGTTGCTTTGGCAATAGTTTGTTAACCTTGTTAGTAATGCTATTGTTATTCTTGTTGTAGTCGCTATTCGAAGTGTTTTGGAAAATAAGTGAATAACCTTCGCGGCGATTTTCAAATGCAATTAACACACATGCAGTCGTCGACAACGCCGACGATGACGACGACGGCGACGCCGATGATGGCAAATGCACTGAAGCAGGACGACCGACGGCACCAACGCCACCACCACCACCATTGACCACCATTGCACCACCAGTCATTCCAAGTTGCTGCTGATGACGCAGCCATGGAATTGGTGCCAAAGCCTTTGCCAAGTGCAAACGTTGGCTCTTTGACTCTGGCTCCAACTGCTGCACAGTGGAACCAAATCCACTAATTCCCTTCAATTAAACTATTAACTGCTTGATCTGAGCACACTTTCCGAGTGATTGACTGAACCGAACAAGTGAACCGAATCATAACTTAAAGCCAGATCGATTCAATGATCTAATTCATCAGATTTGCAGTCCTCAAATCAAGTCGAGCGAATTAACAAAGTTTTCAATTACAATGCTGGATCGAATAATAATATAAGTATCTTTGATATTATTTTAGAGAGGGGCTCAAAAGTTTTAGATTGAAATAGCTCGCAAGCACTTCTCTTGTACAGATGGTAATACAGATTGCTCAAGCCAGCTAAAATGCCTAGGATCTATGTAAGTCATACGAATTGCTCCTTTCTAGGATGTCACTTTACATGCTTCACTAAAAACACTCGTGTTATTCGGGAAAGCGGAGTGTCTAGTTTAAGGACACAGAGTGGAGAGTAGAGATTCAGAGTGAGAATACAGAGTGAAGCCTGTAGAATGGAGAGTTCAGAGTGAAGCGTGAAGAGAAGCAGAAACTGAAGATTAGATATTAGAGAGCTTCAAAATGTTATGGGAACTGTGGTTAGTGCAGTGTAGAGAGTCAAGTAAGGCGAAGGGAGATTGAAGAGTTTTCAGTTTTCAATTTAGACCCAGAAGAGTGTATAGAGACGAGCTGACAGTCGCAATCATAGAATGGGGAGCCAACAGTGGAGAGCCTAAAGTGGAGACTCTTGAGTGGAGAGTGAAACTGAATTGAGCTAGTTTGTTTTTCTAAGTCTCCTGGAAGCGCTCTACTCAGTACAACTAGTATCATTAGTTCATGTCATGTGTGTTCCGTTATTTAATTCAAAATCACAGTCACTTACCTAAGCAGAATGGTCAACTGAAGATCATGGCCCAGACGCTCCAGAGCGGGCACGCCCTCAACTCGCAGTATGTTTATCTTTTCGCGCAGTGATCGAGATACAGTATGTTGGCCTTGACGTTCGCGCAGAATTTCGAGAATATTGGGCTGTCGCAGAAAGGCAATAACCTGAAAGTCAAGTAGCATATCGAAACATTATAAATTAGAAACATTCAGAGCAGTTTAGAGTGATCTAGTCGATGAGTAGTACATGAATTTGAGAGACGGGGAAGGCATCCAAAATCTCTGTATTTATTAAAGGAACCTACACCGGCGAATCTGAATCTCCTACACCTACGGAACGAAGCTGAATTATCGATGCTTGGCGATATTTGAATGGAATGAGTTAACGGAAGAAAGATAAACTCGCACTGCGTACGGCATAGAGCAGCATAAATTCGAATTCAAAGTATCTAGTCTCTAGACGGACCTGGCTGGATCGACTCCTGGTCAAGAATATATATACTCTATGAGTTCTCTCCCGCTTCCTTCTGCCTGTTACATACACCTCACTCAACATCCTACCCTAAGGAGTATAAAATTGGCTGACTTTGAGCTGAATGCACAAGAATCGCTGCTGTCATTTAAACATTATCAATCAATCAGTATAGACTAGGAATTTTAAAAGCATTTAAAGTGGAGATATATCACACAATCAAGCTATTGCTTAAATCAGTCAGTTATTCATAGTTACTAAGGTTTCAATTTGACTAACTTGATCTGAGAAACAGATGCAAAGTTAGATTTACTAAATGGATACTGAGTTCTTTAAAAACGAGCTGATTCCGAGTAGGTTTAACAGATATATATAGATGTATATAGAACTCAACGAGTATTTATATATATCTAGACAGTTGGAGCTATACAAATCTGTAACTATTCTGTTTCGATTACAAGTTGCAAGCTATATGGATAGATCTTAAGCAGATCAAATCGATATAACTTCGGACTTAGCTAGATGTACAGCTCGTATAGCTAGACATGTGAGTTAATTGGGCCGCATTACTTACTTTTTCATTGTAGGCTATCGGCACATCCTCTTGGCCTGCGGCTGCAGGGATACTGGGGGAGCTGGTGCTGGGACCGCCGACGGCACCGCTGAGGCTCAGGGCGCAGGCAATGGCCGCTGCCGTGGTGCAGTTATGTGAGCTGGCAGCTTGATTGACGCTGCCACGACATGGACGAGGTGGTGGCAGCGGCGGTACGCCCGACACCGACACCGACACCGACGGCGATGCGCTCGAGTTGATGTGGCCGCTGGTGGCCGACAGACAGTTGCCATCCACGAGATCCGGTTGCGGTTCTCTTTGCATATATTGATGCTGCTGCTGCTGCTGCTGCTGCTGGCGATGACGCACAACGCGCGGACACTCGACTGGCAGGCGAGGATCCATGAAGGATGTCTTACGATGCTGGTGGTCGATGAAGAACTGCTTGCCAGACTGATCTATCTTGGTCTCCCAGCAGGAGGGCAGGTCGCGGCTGAGCTGCGCAAACGTGTTGACAAGCGCCACCAGATCCTTGTTGTACTGATAGCGCTGGAAGCACTGCGGATCGCGACGTATACGCATCACCATGTGCTTGAGCGCAGCGTTCCGATTGTAAATGGCCAGCGCCGCCTCGTTCGTGTGCAGCAGCGAGTAGAAGTCGGGACGGCAAAGCATCAGCACCGCCGGATGTATGGCCAGATTGAGCGAGGCGGGCGGAACAGTTGCGCCGGCTGCGCAGGCAGCGCCAGCGGCGCCAGATGCAGTTGAAGCTGCAGCCTGGCCAGTGCCGTGTGGAAGACTGTAGAGCTGATTGGGACCGGCGTGGGCCGTTGATGGCTCGGCCGAGTGCAACGAGAGCCGATTCTCGTTGGTGATCGTGCGCCGTATGGACTGATAGCGTCTATCCAGCTGCTGGCGATGATGCTGCTCCCGGCCGCCGGGGCCCGTGCTTGGACCTGGTCGCTGCCAGGACGTGGTACGTGTCGTATGATCAATATAAAATATGCGTCCATGACTGTCCATGCGCGCCTCCCAGGCGGGCGGCAGCGGCGCCTCCACCATGGCACCACAGCCACCGCCGGAGTTGTCCATAATGCCAGCGCCTGCGGCAGCTGCCGCTGCTGCTGCCGCCGCTGCAGCTGCCGCACTACGCTCCGGTATGGAAGGCAGACGAGTGCTGCTAATGTGCACCACGTCATTGCTGTCATCCACATCTGCTGAACGTACGCCTGCCGGTGAGCCAGGCGGCGTCTGCAATTGACTAGAATTGGGCTCCGCCGCGGCCACAGCAGCGGAGTTGGCAGTGACGGCCTGTAGACGCGCATGCCGGCGTGCGTGATGTGTGGGTGTCGGTGGGCAAACTAATCCACCAGCAGCGGAAGCTGCAGCTACACCACCACCACCGCCGCCGCCGCCGCCCACACGCTTCAAGAGTCGCTGCTGTGGCCGCTGTGCATGAAAAGCAGGCGTGCCGAGCGGCGGCGGTGGTGCCAACGGCAGTGGCAGTATGGCCTCCAGGCCACCCACGCCTCGTCCGCGTGTAGGCGAATGCTGTGACTCGGGACTGAGGCTGAGATCCAGCGGAGACACGCTCCGCGTCGAACAGCCCGAGGGCGGACTCCGCTGACGTTTGGGCGAGAGCAGCAATCGTGGCGAGTTGTTGCTGCTGCTGCAGGGCAAATGATAGGGCTCCTCGTTGCCCGCTGCTGGGCCGGCAGCCTTGCCATTGGACAGTGCTCGTGTCAAGGGACGATGTTGTCGCAAGTAAGGAAAGTGATGACCGCCGAGGCCGTTCGAATTCGAACTGGCAGCGCCAGAGCTGCAACTGGCACTGCCACTGCCACTGGCGCTGGCGCTGGCGCTGCTGTTATGCTGCTCCTGCAGGGGGAATGTGGGAAAGTCATATGTCAAATGGGCCGGCACCTTCTGGGTGCTGATCGTATTAATGTAGCTGTCGGGCCCGATCTTCTTCTGGATCAGCGGCTTGAATCGCATCGGCGGTGGGCTGGCCTCCGGCTGGCCTAGCAGGCGCAACGGCGAATTGTTGTTGCTGCTGCTGGCACCACTATAGCTGGGCACATCCTCGCAGTGCATGCGCTCGTCTGTATCGAGTATATCGAATTTGAAGACATCACCCTGCAGCTTCAGTTCTCGTCCAATGGCACGTGGCGGCCACGAGCGCTCCAGCGGACGATGCTGCGGCGGCGGCTGTCGCAAGTGCTTCTGACGGCTGTGCACTCCGCCGCCCAAGTAGGCGCTGGCCTGCAGAGCTGCTGCAGCACCTAGCAGGCTCTCAACAGCGGCTGCTTCTTCGTCCACATCATCGTCATCGTCATCGTCGTCCAGTCCGTGCGACTCTTCATTCTGCTGCTCACGCAGCTCTGCAATGCTGAGCGCATCCACCATCTCGGCGGGCACTGTTTCAAAGCATTCACGCGCCACCCACAAATTGAAGCTATCGCCATTGGATGTTGTCGCAGTGGCCACGGCAATCGGTTTGCTCTTCTTTTTGCAAACGCCATTTTGGGGCGACAGCGTCCAGGATTTGCGACGAGCACCGCCGCCCACACTGCAGCTGCCATCGCTGCCAATGCTGCCGTTGCACGAGCTGCTGGGCGACAGGGTCGCTGCAGAAGCCGACGCTAATCCCGTACTGCTGGGCGTCTCGCAGGACTTGGTCGTGAGCAGTGTCTGATGTTGGTTGCGTGGTCTGCCCAATTCGCCATTGGCAGCCGTTGAAGCTGGCGCTCCCGCCACTGGCAGTTCGCTTTTTTCGTTTTCGTTGCTTGTCTCTGGTTGCAAGTCTCTTGAAGCTGCTTAGGAAACCAAACAGGTTAGCCAAAAGTTAGATGAAACGAATGAATCACTTACTCTGATTGGGCTTCTCCCGCATCACAACATCGCCGTTCGCATCTTGCTGCAGTTGATCAGCGTCTGGCTGTTGATCTGTGGTCTGTCTATTGCTCTCATCAATTTCGGCATCTGCGTCACTAACGCTCACTCTGACGTCACTAGCCAAAGTCAATGCACTTTCGAATGCCGTTTCTAGTTCGTCACTTTCATTGCCGTTGCGCGCCTCGTAATAAGCATCCTTGGCGTCGTCATCATCATCGTCATCGTCGTCATCATCGTCTTCACCGTTATCCGCTTGCTCGTCATTATTATGCGCTGTTGTCACTTGGCTGTCTTGCTCAGCATCCGGAGAGATTTCGCCCGTTACAATGCCCGCCGTTGCGGTAACGTGCGCTGGAGGTTCCATGCTGCTGTTCCCGCTGCTTACCCCGCCCCAACGGCTGCTGCTGCTCTACTTTTTTATGGATTTCTTGTTTCGCATAATATTTGCTGCTACAGTCACTGCGCTGCGCTGCTGATTCGTGCTGCTGCTGCGTCGTTGTGTTCTTGCTATCGATAATTTTGAATGTTTGCAAGTCAGCTGTTCAGTGGACCTTCATCTTACCACCACTGTATACGGAGTGTACAACAACATTGCCCTCAATTGTAACAACACTGTAATAGAAATAAGATAACAAAACGTAAACAAAAGTATGACCAGATGCAAGCAAAGTGGCCAGCTCATTTTGGTATCTTAGCTGTATGTGTTAGTATTATTATTTTCATACCAACTGCATGCTAAAAATATGCCTAATAATACCAAAAACTAATTATATTTTGAACTGATGTTATTTTTGCCGCTAAAATGCATACAAAATATAAATTTAAGCGGATATAAATAGCTTTCTTTAGTTTGTTGATGAATTATATATGAATGAACTATATATAAAAAGATACTGTTCTAAATATCATTCGAATTAAATACTTAATCTTATACTTATGCACAATTGCATATTATATTAAATGAATTTAAACGTCTATTTAGCAAATTGATACTAATATATCAAATAAATACATAACACCAAGAATAAGCGCTAATGATTTTGTTTCAATATCGTTTTTCTGATCAACGTACTTGTCCTAAAACAACGCGGACCACGGAAAAGAGCACATGCAAGTCAGAAGTAACGGCATTTGTTTAAGCAGCATTGTAACGGCATTTGCCTCATTTGGTGTTTTAGCAACATTGTATTTTTTATTTTTTGTTTAAACCATGTTTGTGCGGACCAAAAGATTTGAAATGAAACCAACTGTAGCTGTAACCGACTCCGACATGGAATGCATCAATTTCGGAATAGATCTGACATCGAAGAAGACGCCCAAGCCAGCAGTTTGCAAGACGGTTTGCAAATGCTTTGCGATCACTTATGAGGACTATTGCCGGCACACCTCGCTGCACGGTGTTCAGTATCTGGGAGAGGAGAAGCGGCCGTTTAAGGAGCGAATCTTTTGGCTGTCTGTGTTCGTGGTGTCCATCTACTGTTGTGCGAACCTAATCCTGAGTGCCTACACTAAATGGAATGAAACGCCAGTGATTGTCAGCTTTGCGGAGAGATCGACGCCCGTATGGAATATACCTTTCCCGGCGGTCACCATTTGCTCGGAGACGAAGCGTGTACTTAAAACGAAAGGCAACAATTCTTTTGTAAATCTGTACAGTCAACTCTCGGCTGATATGCGAGCCTCACGCGTCTTCCAGCCACCAAATATCACATCCATTGAAATGGAGGAGTTCCGTACGCTGCTCCACGTATGCAATACGCACAGCATCCAACAGGAAATGCCAATTATACCTGGTGACAATCTGGACTACTACAAGCTGCTGGAACGCATGTTGCCGCCATTTGACCGCTATTTTTTCTATTGCCGCTGGTTGAGCCGGTTCAATGAGTGCGACAAATACTTTCGACCAACGCTGACCGAGGAGGGCATATGCTATACGTTCAATGGACTGCGCCCCACTGATATTTATCGGAAGGATACCTACCAATATCATCACAGCGTCCAGAATGTCTCACACTCGACTTGGAGTCTGGAGACGGGCTATGATCCAGCGAGCGATGTGGAAACGTATCCAGCTCGTGTGCTTAGCGCTGGCGCCCGATCGGGCATCTTTATGACATTGCAGAGCTTTAAGCAGGAGGTGGACTATGCATGCCGTGGACCCGTGCAGGGTTTTAAGGTGTTGCTGCATGCACCAGATGATGTGCCGCAGGTGTCCAAGCAATTCGTACGCATACCCATGGGCAGGGAGGTGCTAATAGCTGTGAAGCCCAATATGATAACCACATCAGCGGGCATTGCCGAGTACCATCCACTGCGGCGACAGTGTTTCCTCAGCCATGAGCGTTCGTTACGTTTCTTCAAAGTCTACTCCGAGTCCAACTGCCAACTGGAGTGCCTGGCTAACTTCACGTTGACCAAATGCGGCTGTGTCAAGTTCTCGATGCCACGCAGCCTGGACATGCCGGTGTGCAGTGAGGACAAGATCTACTGCTATAATATGGCCGAGCGTGAGCTGTTAGTGCGCGAATTCCATCGCGTTCGTAAACTTAATTCAAACAGCGATATGTCTAGGGATTTGGAAACCGCATGCAATTGCATGCCCGCCTGCACTTCGCTCGTCTACAACACAGAAATTTCGCAGGCCAACTTCGATTTGCATGAAATGTTGGCGGCTGAAGGGGATACGGAGTTCCTACGCGATTATCCGGGCTCTCAGATGTCCAGGCTATCAATTTACTTCAAGCAGAATCAATTTATTACCTCAAAGCGTTCCGAACTGTATGGCGTAACCGAATTTTTGGCCAATTGCGGTGGCATCTTTGGTCTTTTTATGGGATTCTCAATATTAAGCCTTGTGGAGATGTTATACCACTTTACTTTGCGTTTCGGGGTCAACCTGAAACAATTGTTTAAAGTGGACTCATAGTCCAATGCCAGGTGTATAATTTGTGCTGTTCATCCGCAGCTATCATGTTGCGCATGTAAACAGATCAAGTTTTTTTTAGTATGTTAAATGCTGTTTTTTTTTTGTTTTCCTTTAGGGTTTTTAATGTTATTTGTTAATCTTTTCTGTAAAAGCAATATTTTGTTTTAATTATGTCAATTTAAAAATTAAATAAATGTATAAAGTTTATTTCGAAATGAATCATTCTTTGAGCGCCACAGGTCAATTTCGTTGTTAGCACTAAAAATAAGTGTTGTTAGTTCTGGAAGTTTTACTTGTTTTGCGCGCCAATAAAATATCGAAAGATCAATTTTCGTTGCTAATGAATTTCTAAATGAGTCGGAACTAATTTTTTTATTTGAATTTGAAGTGGCGAATACTGCATCGATACCACGCTTAATTCTTTATAAATGTAATATATTGCTATTTCCTTGGGACAAGTTAATTATAGCAGTGCATAATAGCTAAGCCATTAAAATTTGACTATTTTTTGTTTGGCGGGCTTAGTAGTAACGGTACACTTTCATACATTCAAATTTAAATCGTTTTTTAAAAACTTAAAATATAAATGGTTTTACTTAAGGACGCATTAATTTTATTATAATTGAAATTATTATTATTAAATGGATTAGAAACCAAATATTTTATAAAAGTGCATATATGTATATAATTAAAATATTTTGGATATAATGAATTAAACTAAAATGAAAGAAAGTGTAGTTCATATATCTACACAGATTTATTGGGGCTTAAATAAAATTATATTTATTAGCTATGTAGCTGTGAAATATATAAATATCTCATTTGGCTTACCCACATTTCTGATCAAATATCGATGAGTTAATAATGCTCGACTGCCATGTTATTTGGTCTGCAACGATATCTACAAATTATGTCTCCATAAAAATATATCGATAGTTGGGTTATATATGAATTCAACTTTTTTAAAATTATCTTGAAATTTTTTGATACTTTTCAACTTCATAAAATGAATATATAATTAAATAAATTTTATTTTCATATTTTTCTACCAATACTTACCCGATATTTTAATCAATTCTGTAAGTTACTCAAAAATTATTTATTACGGTTAGAGTCGTCCAGGGCGGCATGAGCACAAATGGGCTATTTTCCGGTAGCCCTGTGAGCTATCGATTGTCCTGCTTATTTCAACCAAAAAAAAAAAAAAAAGAAAAAAACGCATTCGCTAGTCAATTTTGCGTTTGGTTTCTGCGCAAATAAAATATAAATATAAACAATATAGCCCTAGTGCTAAACAACTAAATAGAAGTGTACATGCCAATAACAAACATTTCAAAGTGATTGGAACGTGATTGAACGCATTAAAATGCTAATGTTGACCAGCTGTAGGTTAACATCGCTATCAATATCAACAACAGTGCAAACAAGAGTGCCATAAAATGTAGAAAGTAAACAGAGGCAACCCAACTAACATTAAAAGCAATATATTTTTTTCATTTACTCGCGTGCACTTATTATTTTGGTTTTGTATTGGTGAATGGGCGCCGTCACCGCCGTTGCTGCCATAGCCGCCGCCGCCGCCGTCGTCGCCGCCATCTTCGCCGTTGCACTGAGATATGGCCTCTCTACATTCCAGTTGGCGTTTTGGCAAAAAAAGAAGCAAATTACAATTACGCATTAATGGTACGTTATGTGTAGGAAATAATAAATTTTAATTAACATATGCCACCACTTTCATTACATGCATAACAACCATACAGTTGCACACAAATGTACATAGATCTAGATTCTGTTATTGTTGTTATTTCTAGCTATTGCTTGGCTCTGTCTGACACAATAGCTTCCAACAGGCCTTACCCAATAAATATGCAAGCGAAGTCGATTGCGCATAACGGGAAGAATGTTGCAGCACCAGCCGCTTGGCAATATTCTTTTAAATTTTCATCAGTTTCTTGATGATGATGTTGCTGCCAGAAATGGCCTGTTATTTATATAAATATATATATACATATATATAAATATATACACATATATATATATATATATATATATATATATATATATATATGTTATGTTTTGTTTGACCAAATTTTTACTACATATTTGATTTCTATTAATAGACGTCACGTCGCTAACATATAGCCCCAACGATGACGCAGCAAGCTAATAAAAAAACCAACAACAACCAACAGCAACAATACACATTTGTTGTTAATTTATTTTCCAAGTACAGTTGGTTCTGTGTCTCTGTTTCGTTGCAACTAGAAAAGAAAAACAACTGCTATGACACTCACTCGAAATTCACGTGCGCCGGCAGCATTGGCCTCTGATTAGATGCGCTCGTGAAACAATTTCACTTTGATAAATAGCCCGTTTATTTATTGGTATTTAGCTGTTGTCAGTGTACGAGACCTGCATACATATATACACCATTTACAAATATATGTTATGAACAAATCTTGTCAATAAACTAATAAATAGTTAATTATTGATAAGTAATATGAATAATATATATCGCAGTGTAACTAAAATGTTCAGAATTTCAACTAAAAGTTAACAATTTACTAAACTGTCTAAAGCTTACTATATATATTGATAGACATAATCTGTTCGTAATGATCCGATATTCCATTTTACTTCTTCAATTCTGTTTTTATATACTATAATTTGAGTTAATGAAAATTATTAAAGCTGCTAGCCATTCCATTCATATTTATTATTTTATTCTGCTCACAGTTTCACAAGATCCCGAGGACTTTTACCGTTTAGATCCAACGAAATCGGCAGCTGAAAATGCCTTTGACATCTATGCTATGCTCTGCATGGAGGAGACGCGGGACACGAAGCGTCTGTTTCTGCTCAATGCTCTGGCCTCCCTATGCTTGGCGGCCACCTCAGGATCGCCGCACAACAATATACGTTTCAGCACTGAGGAGCTTCTTTACTGGTGAGTAGTGTGTACTACTCCATCATTTTCAAGATCGCTTCCTAATTGTAATTAATTGTTATTTGCAGTCTAAGTGCCTCACTGGTGCACACATTTACGCAGGTACGTGCCGCAGCGCTTCGTACCATTCGATATACGCTGAGCACGCCAAAGGATATCAAGACGTTCAATTCGCTGCAGTTGCAGCATCTGCTATGCCGTTCCATTGATCTGATGCTAAAGAATGACGATGAGCGTGTGCAGGCGCTTAAGCTGGTGCGTAAAATGCTGGCGATATCACCGGAAGACATTAGTCCAGTGGTGGTCAGATGCCTGGTATCCTTGGCCGACAGCGGCATCGAGGAGAGCGACAATCTGCTGCGTGCCTGCCTAGCGACGCTTGCTGAATTTGCTGTGCTTAATCCGGCACTGCTCATTGTATGCGGTGGTGTTTCGTCTATAACGCGGAATGTGTTGGAATGCCACAATCCACGCATTGCCGAAAGCCTCTGCGGGGTGCTGCTTTATCTACTTGAATGGCCGCAGACACGAAACATTTGCGGCGTTCGACTCGACTGCTTAGCGGCCCCTTATTGTGATTTCACCTATGGACTAGGCATCATGGATAAAAACAAGTTAGTTGCCAAACGATGGCCATTCATCAAATACATTTATTGACTTCCAAATCGTTGCAGAGATGCACGCGAGCTGCGCTATACCAGCTGCCGACTGGCTTTACTTTCTGTGTTACGCAGCTGGACAGGCACGCTCGAATTCTGTGATCCAAGCAAACCTTCAGGCTTAAAAGCAATAGTTGACGCTTTATATTTAAATCAAATTGAAGTTCGAGTAAGTATGCACCAATCTATTAGAAACGGATTTGTACATTTTGGTAGTATTGCCGAAGACCAGTCTTATGTTATCTTTACTTTCTTTGAGTATGGTCGAGCTTATGCAGTAGCTGTTATCTAAAATATATTTATTACATAGTAGTTTGAAGCAAGAGAACCTAATTTGAATTCAAATGTAAACTTTAAATCTATAAAATTAAATCAAACTCTCCATTTCATATAAATAATATTTTCTTTGCTAAAAAATAAAATTTCTTAAGTATTGTAATGTGAATTATATAATATCCAGATATATTTATGCAAACAGTCGAATATTTCTTATCTGCATGTAGTAGATTATACCATAAATTTATTGCGGTTAATTCTTGGTTTTAAGGAATGTATGATGGATGAGATTTTGTTATCTGTAGTCGCTGGCAAACAAAAGCATCAGATTGACTCAGCTCGTCGTTCTGGTTATATATTAGATATATGTATATATTATTTTCTATTCTTCATCCTTTGTATTAATATTTAAACTATTAAGGGAATTTATAGTTGGGGATTAAAATAAGATGCCTAAAGTGCTATATAATAATTGTTTCTCTTTCTATTTTTTCCTAATAGAAAGCAATTTTGGATTTGCTTTACGAGCTCTTGTCGGTGCCGCAACCTGGCTGGACTGATGATTATGATGTTGCGTTGCAAACAGTTGATCCGTCAGATTTCCAGGACTCTTGGCTGCTGAGCAACGGCTTTGTGTCCGCTGAGGGACGATCTATATTACCAAGTTTGGCAGCGCGTGCGCCGAATGTGGTTGAACAGCATTTAGCGCTGTTGCTCTACTGCTTCCTAGAGACGGGACTGCTCAATGCGCTGGTCGAGGTGGCCGTTGCCCCCGATCAGTTTGTGTCGGTGCGCGCCACGGTGTTAATTGCGAAAATCCTGCAACTGATGCACACACATCTGCCTGCGGATATATTCAGCACAAGTCCAGCGCTGCCAACGCTCGTTGGACATGCCACGCAAGGTAATCAGCAGGCAAATGCCGCTGTCGCCGCGTTGCAAAACTATCAGAAGATGCTGCGGCAAAGGCCGGCATCGTGCAGCTTATTCCTTGATAGCATTATACAGGGTGGTGCGCTCATACAGACGCGCCTCTTTCGACGTAATATCAATGCACAGGATCAAAGCAGTGCCTTGCAGCTGCAGGACACAGCTGGTGCGGCAGCTGCTGCCGTGGCCGTTGCATCCTCATCGTTTACAGCTGGTTATAGAGGCGCGGCTACGCTCGATAGACAGCGGTTGGACTCGGTGTCATCTAGCGATGAGTCCAATTCGCAGGCATCGAGTTCTCTACGTTCGAGTTTTAGACTGAAGCGTAAGTTTCTGCCGCAGGTGTTCAACCTCGACAATTTGCGTGCCTTAAATCGACTTCTGCACGAGTCCCATGTGCTGGCACAGGCGGATGCGAATGCCTGGGACTGGGAGGTGATCATCACTATACTGAGAGTAAGCATTAAATACATGTAACAATTCACATTTGCCTTTGCTAACTTTGCTCTTCTTGTCTCAGTCGAATTTTATACGCAAACTGGACTATACGCCGGGCAAATTCCTAAATAAATTCCTAAAGCGCTTAGTGGACTTCTACAAGCCGAGTAACAATAGCTTTTCACATCAAGATCTTGTGCCAGGTCAATCAATGCCATCGTATGTGGGTGCTGGCCTCGACCTGATTGATGTGCTGCTTAATAGCAGTGAGGTAATTATTCTTTATTACAATTTCGTTTTCTTTTTTATATAATATAATAATATATGTGTGTCTTTCTTTTCGTTGATACAGCTGGAGTGTATGCGCTATATAACGGACTATTTTTCTGATGTCAGCCAACATCTGCTGGCAGTGACCACCTCAAGTCGAGCCCACGACTGTCTGTTTAGTCCACAGCATATGAACAACACAATGTGCCAGCAATATTTTCTGTACATTGGGCGCATGTGTCGCAGCATTAAAGGCATTGAAGTGCTTAAAAATACAACCGTATTTGAATAGTAAGTATCATTGATTCAGTCTTTTGGTCCTATACTTACCACGTTTGTTCATTAGTCTAATTACTCTGGTGCGGCATACTGATCATGTTTGCTATGTAAAGCTGATTGTCTCTGGGCTGAACTACCATGAGAAGCTACCGCGGCAGGTGCTTGAAAAGGCGCTTACGCTCGCCAAGACGCGTAGTGGTAGACTGTATGCCACACAGTTTCTGGCCGTATTGCTGCGCGCCCGTTTGCCCAACTTTGAAGTTTGGGGCTTACCACTGATCATACAGCAGACCAAGGATGCGGATCGCAGTGTTGTACTGGCCGCAATGGATGTGCTCGAGGAGGCATGCCATGACAAATACTATCTGGAGGAGATTGTTAGTCTCTGGCCCAATCTAAAACAATTGGGCGATGTGGGTCGATTGGTTATGGCTCGTTTCTATTCGCTATCGCGCGGGTTGAACAGCAGCAAAGCGCACATCGAGGAAGAAATCAAGTATTGGCGCACTGGCTACAACAAGCGCTACGTCCTGCTCGTCGAGGCAGAGACGCACTCCTGTCTAACGTTGCATGTACGCAACGAAGATGGCTACTACTCCAGGCGCAATTGCAACCAGAGAGCACAATTAGTCCCGCCTAATATAGCGCCTCATCTCTATGGCCAGATGGTGCAGACCACCCAAGGCATGACGGCGCTTCGAAAATATGCCGATTTGCCACAAGTGCTTGAGGTGCTAACGCGTGGCAAATGCAACGACGATGCCGAATGCCTTGAACTAAAAGCGGCTATATGGGCTCTAAGTCATACTTCAACGCATTCAAATGGCATCGATTACTTTGTGGAAATAGGAGCCAGGTAGGTCTAACAGTATATGCGTCTTTAACTAGTTATAATAATGGCTTTTTACATTTGCAGGCTCTATGAAAAACTTATACTCCTCGTCACTAAATGTGAGGTGTATTCGGTGCGTGCCACTTGCTTTAGTGCATTGGGTCTAATTGCTGGAACTCAGGCAGGCGCCAATTTGCTTTTCAAGCTAAGTAAGTTATGAATGTTACACATATAACTATGCCAACGTACATAAGTTGTGTAAATTGTAAAATAGTCATTTAATGGAATGTTTTTATGATGGATGAAACGAGAGAGAGAGTGGATTTTAAATCAAGATTGCAAATATTAATAGATGTATTTTGTTTATAGATTGGCTCAGCGTGCGCCACGATCGGAACACAATGTGGCCCGTTCATCAGCCAGAGGACTGGATGTCCAGTCAATATACTCCGGTGCGGCATCACTATGAGGATATGCCGCCGTACAACTATATGGGAATTGAGGATCAAATCGATGCTTCCTATGATGCTGGCAGCTGTTGGAATTTACAGGATGCCAATACTACAACAACAACGACTACAGACAGCGCCCGGACCACGGTTGAAGAAGTATGCTGTTAGCCTAACAGTATTAATAGCTACAAGATTAATATGCCTTCAACTTTTTAGCTGCAGTTCACTCGACCGCTCAACATTAGCGGAGTCGCAGCCAAATCCAAAACTCTACCGGAAGGCAGCAATGTGCGCCAAGGTAAACATCAACGCTCACTGTCCGAATCGAAGACAACGGATGTATTCAGCCTCATAGGCGGTGGTTCTAGTGCGCCAGGTGTTGGTTTCTGTCCCATGCACTATCAGCATCGAATACGCTACAATTCGTGCACCGACTCAAATACGTCGGGCGTCAGCAGCTGTGAGTCGGTTACAGGCAGAACGGCAGCTGCAGCCGCTGCTGCTGGTGTTATCAACGTGGGTGACTTTCAGCAGTTTCCACTGAGTCCCATACAAAGTATGTCCAATCTGCAAGAGATGCCGGCTTATCACGCCGCCAAACTGCTGCGTCGAACTTCCTTGTTGGGCACCAGTTTCCTGCAGCCCGCACTTAGTCCTATGGCTATGGAGGGATATGCAAAACTGCGTTCTCTGCGCGCTCGCAGTCGTCCGGTGTTCTCAGAGTCAGCTGCGGAACTCTACGACTTCATAGACATTGTGGATCGTGGTGAGATGCAACCACGGAAATACTCCTGGGGCGAATCCAACCGACGGATTAAGGTTCGCAGCTTGGATCGACAAACGATGCTTAACGTATTCACGTAAGTGCAAACTTAACACGCTTATTCAATAAACTTATCTAAAGATATGTTTTTTAAAAAGTATATATATTTACGTCACACTGGATCTTGTGCTTCCATCACTTTGTTTATCTGTTTGATACCATGTAAACTTCTACTCGCCCTCTCTCTCTTTTACCTATCTCTGTCTGTAACCCACAAACTACCTAAGCAGAGAGCACTCTATGTGCATGTGTATATGTGTGGGCAACGAATGAGAGAGAGAAAGCTGTATGCCGTATGCAACAGAGCGAGATCGACAGATTCCACCATTATAAATTTGGTTCCTAAGCACAGAAATGATTAATATATGTTATTAAATATAGAACCGTCTGATGCATAGTGCCCCAAGCCCCATGCTGTTAATGTTCTAATCTAATCTAAAATTAGACAGTCAATGTATCAGAACCGTTAATTAGTGTAATTATTAGTCGGTCAAAAGGTTGAAAATTGCTAAGCTTTAAATGATATATATAGATAAAGGCTGATAGAATATCTCATAGTGAAACCACACATATATATACCAATTATAAATTTAACAATATATTTGTTTACTTGTCTAGAATGCTTAATCGTAATATTAACGTTGGTGTTTTTGTTTTGCAGACGTCTCTCGTCGGAGGAACTGCAGGTGCCTTTGCCTTCGTTAAATACGCCCAAGTTTCTGCCGCAGAATGACCTGCAAGGACCGTGCTACACGGGCATCTGCTTGCCCAAGAATGCGCTCGATTTGTTTCCGTCGCGCAATCTAAGCCGTACTTATGTCTCATGTGATATCATTGATCAGGACTTAATGGGTGTCAATTTGCTGGGCGCGCGGCCACAGTTTTTAACGTGTCTCAACGATTCCATCAATAATGAGGGCGGTGATGAGTCCTCGGTAATATCATCGCTATCCGATGTCTCATCATCGGCTAGTCGACGGCCATGCAAATGGCAGCAGGGCGCCAAACATGCGCGCAGCCAATGCCTTTATTGTACGCGCTCGCGCCGTCAACAACGGCTGCAGCCGCAGGCCCAGGCCCAGGACGCCAACAGCAGCAATAGCATGGGCGCCACGATTGCTCCATGCGAACTATATAGCAGTGCATCCGCGACTCTTGTTGCTGCTGGCATGCAGGCCGGGCCAGCGCTGGCTCGCAAGAGTACTGGAAAATCGGGCGGTGCCACTACGATACAGCTAGCGGATATGAGCTTTCACTCGCCCGAAAGCATATTGAGTGAAGAGAGCCTGCCGGATAAGTTGACCGCGTCCATTCTCTACAATGTGCAACGCATGGCCAATCCTGTTAGCGCGAAGCAGTCGAAAATGGCATTGCTCGAGCTTAAACAGAAACATCCGCATGCCTTTCAAGACATTTGCTTATATTCGGAGTCGTGCAAGACGCTTGGCCGCAGTAGCTATCGCATGAGTGCGCGACGCTTTCTGCAGGAGCTCTTTCTAGATTTGAAGTTTGATGCTTTCTACGTGGAGCCGCAGCTTATTATCACGGCTCGGAAGCAGCCAGCTGACGACCCAGTTGGATCCCTATCTTCTGTTGGCACAACAACATTAACAAATTCAACAGCGACAACATCAACTGCAGCGACAACAACAGCAGCAACCACAACACCTACAGCAGCAGCAGCCACAGCTACAGCAGCAGTAGCACCAGCAGTAACAGCAATTCCTTCAAATGCAACTTTGTTATCGCATAAAGCACAGCTGAAGCCAAAGCAGACGGCTCAACTAGCGAGCGTGTATGAGACTAGTTGGGAAAATCTATTGATGGACCAATCGCCGCGTATTGGCGCCAACAAGACAACTTATTCCGGATTGCAACATCGGACAACCCCGGCGACACCCCGCAATGAGCTGCACATTGACGATGCGACCGAGGATGCTATGAACAGCGATGATGATGCTGGCGAAGATGTCTGTGATGGAACCGTTGACGATACACAGGTCGGCAGTGTAACCGCGGCAAATCCTTCCCGCCCTGCCCTTCAAAATTCTAAGTGTTGCAGCAGTGGTACGATAAGTCAAAAGCTGGAACCGCCACCGCTGACGCTGACGATGCCAACAACGACGACGACAACGACCTTATCATCATCAGCTGCAACCACTCCGACAACTCCGAATATTGAGAACGAGAATCGTCAGTATACGCGCGGACGTTTCTATACGCTGGAGCTGGATCTGAGCTGTACGAAGAATAAATTTCCAATCACGAATCGCAATCGAATGACAGCCGTAAAGACGGACCAGGGATCAGTGCTGAGGTCAATGATGGCACGGCAAATAAGCTTGGATGACGCCACACTCTTCTACCCCTCAATGACCAAAAGCTTGGCGGCATCTGTAGCAAAGCCTGTGGGTAGTCTTTACTGTGAGAAGCGTCTGCAGAGCTCCAAATCGGAGGCTGTGCTGGATAGTGGTGGAGGTAGGGGCGGTAGAGGGGCCTGCAACGTACCCAATGATACCATCAAGTGGACGCCACCCAAACGGTGTTAGATGGTAAACTGATCCCGATCCATATCCAGATCAAACAAACAGCATCAATGCCCGCCCTGCAAGTAACTAGACTTTTCTTTAATGGATTAAGTTCTTTTAGCTAACGCGATAAGTTGTCCAAGGTTTATATTTTTTTAAATTCGCTGAGCGATTTATGTAAGTTGTGCATATATAATATATACATATATATGTACAATCACAAGGAAAAGTAGAGGCAGAAGAGAATACACACATCTAAATATACATAAACCCATTATAATAATTAAATAATATTATATGAAAAGTAACTATTTTCTGTAGATTTTACAATTACAATTAATATTATTGATAAATATTTTCTTTAAATAAAATTCATTACCGTTAAGCGACACAAATAATCCAAAAAATCATATATATATATATATAAATATATTTAATTTTATTTGTAATTAATTAATTAAAAACGAAAAACAGAAAACAAAATTAACAATGAAGTTTTCGGCACGCCGAAGATAAATACCCTTGCAGACAAGATACCTGAATGGATAAACAATATTTACTGTTATTCATTTGAAATTTTCTGTAAGATAATTGTAATATGATAAAGTCATCCGTGTTCACATCAGATGCAAGATAAAGATATTCTGGCATCTGCATCCTATAGAAGTCGCTGACTGAGAGACTCGATTTTAATTACTGACTGACTGATTGATGGTTAAATAATATGGGCTTGGAGACGTCTTCTTCTATGCCTTAGATATAGATATTCTGTAGCTAGAATTGTATCCCCTGCAAGGGTATCAAAGAGGTTACCCAAAAAGAAACAGCAAAACCACCGCAATTTATTTATTCAATTGTACTTAAAAAAGAAAACGAAACGAAGAAGCAAACAAACCAATATAAATTAACAACAATTGCGAAAAGTGCAAAATTGTATGCAATGATTTTGAACTGTATGAATGAAAAGCTCCTAAATTTAATAAATACATCCACAATGAAATTAAAATATTTTTAGACAATAATTAAAACTTAAAACTTGCTTTTATTGATCCCTGCTCACACAGTGTCAAGAATAAAAACTGATTTCATCCCATTCAATATTCCTAGCCAGGTCTCTTTCTGTTGACTATTGAAGCATTTGCAATATACCCAACTATCCTATACCCGATCTCTATGTCGAAAATCTGAATTAATTAAGTTCCCTTGCGGTTTACAGGGTCAAATGACTTGCCTAAAGCCGGCAGTTGCAGCAAGACCAGGATCCAGCATTGGATTAAAGTCAAAAGCTTTCTTTATATTGAAATAAAAAATATATATGGTTCAGAGGGCGCTCCTCAACCAAACAGTATTCGATTAATTTCAGTTGATAATGTTAATTTGTTTTAATTTGATTTAGTGAGAGCTACATTTAAATTTGAATTAAGAATTAGTGCTATGCGTAGTAGGTACAAAGTTTCTTAGACAGATATATTGAAATGTTTTCGACTGCTATGGTAGCAGCAAATAAATATCGTTATATATAAGAACGTTGCAAATATGCCCAGTGCATTGAGAGCCATTGAGAAGCCGAGTAAATATTTCCATTTGCCACGAATGGCTTCACACGTTTCGCCGCTGTCGCTAGGTTGGAGATATGGAAGTTGTTATGCTGAGATGCGTAAGACGCGTTACGGGTATGCAATATACTCACATATCATCGGAGCCAGCCTCAGCTAGAGCTGCCATGGTCGTCGCTTGCTGCTCCTCCGTCAGGCAGGTGCAGTTGCTGTAGTTGAGGAGGGAGCTGGTCGCCGGGCCACAGTTGCCATCGGTTAGCGTCGACGTGGACTGCAGCTCGGCGAACTCGATGGCGGCACAGACCAGCGCCAGGCAGCAGAAGATTAGGGCCAGAGCCGAAAAGACGTAAGATTCAACCAGCAGCACTTTGTAGCAGTTGTTGTGCGCCCTTTTGTAGTCGGACTCGCGATCCCGACCAAGCAGTATTAGACCCGCAATACTGGCAAGTAAAAGCTAAAATATAACTTGATTTACTAATTGATAAGTAACACTGAAGTACTCAGACGAGGTCCACTCATTAGTAGCTACTCACTGAAAGGCCACTTAGGTACGGATTTATCAATATGGATGCACTCGGTGTCCAAATAAGTATCGAGATGGCCAACCCCACGATCAGCAGGCCGATGGCCAGTTGCAGGATCAAAAGCTGGCGTGAGAAATTCGAGTTGCGAATGTGCGAAGTATATGTTTCCTGGATGCCTGCGATATACGCATATAGAGAGGGCAACGGAAGAAGAGAGAAGATTAGAACAGAAGAGCGAAGAGGAGAGCAGAAAGGCAATTGAGAAGTATTCAGAAGATAAGGGGAGAGAAGACGTCAAAGACAGAAGAGAATGGAAGAGGAAATATATAAAAATAAGAGAAGAAGAATTGAGAAAAAAGAGAAAACAAGGAAATCAGATAAGGAAACATAAGGAAGAGAAAGGAAAGCCAGGAAGGCGGAGGCGGAGATGAAAAGCAGACAAAAGAGCAAGGAAAGAAAGAGTCGAAACATGAACAAGGGCAAATGAAGAGAAAAACAAATATGAAAAATTAAAAAGAGAAGGAAAAAATAGACAAGAGGCGAAGAGAGTAGAGAAGATGAGAATAGAAGGGATAATACAAGAGAAAAAATGAAAAGTCAAGAGAAAAGAGAAGTGAAGCGATGCGAGAAGAAAAGTTAAGAAAAAAAGAATGGAGAAATGAAGAGAGGAAGCGATAAAAATGATTTTAAAAAGCGACAAGAGAAAAATAGGAGAAGGGATGAGAAGAGCAGAGAATATTCGTAATTGTAATAGACTTAAGCTTTTCGCTTTGGGATCGGGTTGCACTTACTGTCATGGTTCTTATTATTAACCACAATCATCCGGCTGTGCCTGAGACTGTTCCGAGTTGGCGTGTGTCGTCCGGCGATCTTCATACCCTTCATGTTCTGAGGGACCGTGGTGCTCATATAGACAGCCTGTGCAACATATTGAGACAAGCAGAGTAAGCAGATATTCTCCGTGGAGGTGGAGCTAATACGCACCTGCGTTGGCTGCGACGCATCTAGATCGCTCAATGGAATTTGCTCGTATGTGGCACCGAAGCGATGCGACACGATTGTGGGCGAGCTGCTTGCTTCCGGCAGAACGGGAATTCGTGTGGGCTGTGGCACATTTTGGTATTTGGGCTCCGGCTTGATAACTACCGACGGCATAGCTGCGGCTGGTGAGTCACGCTCGCTGGGAGGCGAAGCTGCGACGTCCAACGTCTCACAGCTGTGGATACCAAAGAATTTGGACTTTGCATCGCTCAAAGCGGCTTTGACTGCAGCAATGCTGTGGCTGGTCTCATTCAGCTCTGAGACCTGTTCTGGCATGGCCAGCTGATGGCGATCCTGGCTGTTGGCTTGCCACGACTTCTTGTTGCCGTTCATGGCAATGCTTGGGCTATCTCGTAGCTCCTGTCGCATCTGTCCTGGAGTCTTACCGGTCCACACTGGCTGCTGCTGTTGCTGTTGGTCTTGCTGTTGTTGTTGTGGTTTCATCTTCGGCTTGGCTGCGCTCGTTGTGGTTGCTGTTAGGTTGTCATATGTGCTTATTGGACGCACGTTTTGTGATTGCATTGTTGTCTGTTTCCTTCGGCTGGCGTTGTTCCAATAATGCTATAGCCCCTTGACGCATAGCGCATCCTCAGCTTGAATCGTTAAAAATGTTGCTGAAACATTGTTGTTACACATCTTTTAGAATAACTGTGCGTCGATCATTCTGCACTTGTTGCACAAGTAGTGAGTATTACCAACGACAAGTTTTACCTCTTCTTCTTCTCTATCTATCTCTATCTGTAGCTTTCATAGTCTGAAAATACTTCTAAAGTTGATCGAAATAAGGGGAAATGTATAAGTTTTAGTATATGAACGTTTCAATGTAGTTTAAAGCTCGCTTCACATGCATATGTATGTGTGTGTGCGTGTGTGTCTGTATAATACAGTAGTATACTTGGTTCTATACGTTTGAGATGAGTTTAGATTCAACCTAAGCTGACAGGTATTTACAACTATGCTGTTCACATGACTATGCAACGGCCACAAACACACTCAGTGTAATTGGTTTGACCACATACATACATAGGCACATATGTGTGTATGTATGTAATGAAGGGAAATGTTATGGACCGTTGGGTACGCTCTTTTTAAGCGTAGATATTATTATACCCTGATCCCATTAAAAATGGGAAATCAGGGTATAATGGTTTTGTGCAAATGTATGTAACAGGCAGAAGGAGGCGTGGCAGACCCCATAAAGTATATATATTCTTGATCAGGACGACAAGCCGAGTCGATTGAGCCCTGTCCGTCTGTCTGTCTGTCCGTCTGTCCGTCTGTCCGTCTGTCCGTCTGTCCGTCTGTCCGTCTGTCCGTCTGTCCGTATGTGTGAACGCGTGGATCTCAGCATCTATAAGAGCTAGAGACTTGAAATTTTTTTTGTAGGTCCGTGTATAGCACGCGCAGGTCAAGTTTGTTTCAAATATTCGATAACTATTCGCATTTAATTGTTATCGAATAAAAACATTATTGAAATGCAGTAAATAAATTATATCTCGAACGTCTTAAGAGCTAGAGCCTCCAAATTTTGTATTTAGTGTTATGTATATTTTATGCAATTTTGATTTTTGTTGGATTTTGGATACCGGCTCCAAATTCCCCCAAATTCTTAGAATTTAAGTTTAGTTGGAACTAGGGCCATTATGTGAAGGCGTTTGCATCTCAACCAAGCCAATAGGATATGTAGATCATATGCTGAATATTTCATTAAAATCCATTAAGTAAAACAGAAGTTATTAAACAAAACGTTTGGCCAATTTGCAAAAGCACATGTCAGCAGCGCCACGCGCACGCATTTTTCCTATGCGTGTGCACACATACATTCAAATGCGTGTATACTTTTCTATTCCAAGAATTGAAATTGCGATTGAATTGTGCTGAATTATTAGCTGCTACTTATGTTCAAATTTGCAACAGCTCGCGTAAGAAGGGCAGTGGCTGCGTTGGTAGAGGCACCTCTCGGATGCAGCTTGGTCCGGGTTCGAGACCAGAGGAGATGAAATGTTTTTTATTGTTTTATATTATTTATTTATTTTTTTTTTTTAGTTATGAAGTGGCGGTGTTGGTAGAGTTTGTGCACGTTGCGCAAATAATCCGGGTTCGAATCCTGGTCTCGCAATGTCGATTTTTATTTGTTTTCTTTTTTTTTTAATACTCGATACAAACTACGGAAAATATTACAAAACTCAAAGGACTGGGATCAGGGTATCTCCTAGTCGGGCACCCCGACTAGAGCTTTCTTACTTGTTTTTGTGTTGCAGTTACTCGAAAGCAAACAAAAAATTGGAGTTTTCATCGATTACAAAACGTTGCTTCGATCTATTTAAAGGTTTCTTCCGCATTACCATCAATTACATATATGTATATATGTGTGTTTCTGTGCGATTACAAACTTATTTAAATAAATGACATGAAGTGTGCAAGAGATATATAAGTAGAGAGCGAGAGAGAGAGAGAGATAGAGAGAGAGAGATATGCGTGCAGAAACTTTGCCAACTTTAAGTTCATACCAAGTCACAACAAACAAAATAGTAAAGAAATATGCATACAAAATAATCGTAACGACATATGAAAACACGTTATATACTCTATATATATGTGTGTGTGTGAGTGTGTGTGTAGTCTCTACTGATCCACAGAAAACAACAGTCAATATTAAAGAAGAAAAAATAAAAAACACGCATACACACAACAAAAACGACAAAAAATAGCACAACAACAAGAATATATATAGCCGCGAGTGGTAGGAGAGAGAGAGAGTCGCTTGCAACTGTACGCACCAAAATGTGAAAACAAACTAAAAATAATTCTCTCGAATTCACTACGATCGAGCGCTTTAAACAAGCCAAATTTCCATTTGTGCGCTCGCTGCTTGGCCTAACCGAAAAACAGTTGCGAGCGCGGATACCGCAACGAAATCCGCTCTCTTAGCGGCCAGCGCTGCCAACACTGGCAGCAAGAGTACAGCTAGCTACTCATGCGCTTTACACTTTACGCTCTCCTCACCTCTTCTCTCTTCTCCACCAAAGTCACTCTACGCTCTCTCTCTCTCTCTCGCTCTCTCTACCTGTCTGTCTGTCTGTTTTGCTGTTCACTCAGCTTGAGCCCTGTTGAGGCCTGTTGCGCCAACTTCTGTTGCTGTGTTGACGTGGCAAGGCTAAGCAGCATTTTCTTTACCAACAACAATCTCAGAACCAGTAAGAGAGCACAATAACTGTTACCGAGTATACCAGGCTACGTTGACACCTTAGCTATTGCGTGTTGTGGCACATTTTATAGCAACTAGTTTATGGCTTGAAGTTATTTTGTGCATAAAATTTAACGATCTTTGCGAGCTGGAACGTTGTTATTTATTTGATAGTTATAACTGCTTATTTTAGGTTATAACTATGGTATATCAACTTTGTGGCGTCGTGCATACCATTGTTTGTGGCGTCGTGCATTCCCTTATTTGTAAGCCATGTTAAAGGGTATCAAAACAAAAGAGAATGTGAGAGAGCGCATTAGACCGAGAGCGATAGAGCTATAGAGCCACAGCTAATGTCCAAGCCAACATTGTCAATTTTCACTTTTTTTACCTTTACATTTTCTCACCAATTCTTTGACAATGAAATCCAACTTAACTAAATCTTGATCGTAGCTTTACTATGTATACAGCTGTACGTATATATTGCTGTTTGTACCGAACGACTAATTGCTGATCGACGCACAGTTAAAATCGTCAGAGCTGGGAAAATCTGAATCTGTATCTGAATGGGTGAGAAAATCACACGACATATTTACATACACAACTATATAGATATTATCTGATGAACATAAATTGGAAAGTGCTACATCTGCGTCAGTTTTAAAGCCAGGATCTGGACCTCAATTCCAGATAGATCCACAAGTTATATGGTCTTCCTATTGCATTCAGGTTTACCATACCTACTTGAATCATTTTGGAAACATTGGATTGGCTGCTCCGATATCAGTGGCAACTGCCTCATACTCTATATGTAACTGCCTTATACTCCGTTTCACTTAGGTTCATATAATTTTTTAGTAGATAGTCAGGTATTTCGTCAACAAAGCATATGAAATTACCGGGTCACAGACCATTGCATTCTTCGTATTATGAATTGTCTTCGCATGAATTGGAAAAGTTGCGAAACTTTTACTGTGTATGCATATAGTGCACCATTACTATAGTAATTTTTTATTATCTTTTTTATTTTAAAAGATATTTCTACATGCGGACTTAGACATATTATACTCTAAATAATTCCATTTGTCCGTCTGTCTGAAACTATGGATGCCGCAATTTAAAAACCTTAAAAAGCAAAAAAAAGAAATTTCCTAAAAATTTTCTTCTATAGGAAATCAAGAATGTTGCGATTCGTCAGTAAACTTCATTTATTTATCCACATCGGTTTCAAAACAAGATTTACTAGATTTCGCATTTTAGGTCCACATAAGTTGAGAGTCTCCAACTTTTTGACTCCAAAAGCTACGTCACTTCCATAGTGACGAAAACTTAAGGATCCAAGAAACAATTCAGAGATATGATTGATTTGAGAAGCATACAACTTTAGATAAGCGCAAATTTTTATAAATACTGTAATATAGGATTGATTGAACTCATCTGAATAGGTTTCAGAACCTTAACAGTAACTTCAGATTCATTGATATATTGTAAGCATATCTCTTTTTTTGAATATTTTAAAAATTGAAGTAAGTATTAATAAATATTTTGAAAAAAAAAAAAATATGGAAGGGAATGGAAACATTTGAGCGACTTTTAAATAGGTCCACATAAAGGGTATTTTGAATCAGGTCCTAAACTCCAAGAAATAGCTCACAGTATTGATAATTTTCTCGCTATTGATGAAAAATGTGAAAAGATGAAGAAATATGTAGAAGAAAGAGCAGATGAAATCAGATGGAAAAACGGAATAAAGCGAACTATTCGTGGTGCCATACCACAACTCTCTAGAATTTTAAATGTTTTGTGAATCTAAAATGCAAAATACACAGAGTCTCTGCATTTATTACAGACGACTGTAAAATTATCGATTTTTATCGATAATAAGGAAATAGGATGAGTTATCAAGAAAAAACTGTTTTGCGTATGGTATACACGAGCTGTGTTCCCACATGGCTTGATCGACAGGGCTCTGGGTCTTTATTATGAATATACACTTTATGGGGTCTACCACGCCTTCTTATACCTGTTACAAACAAAACCGTTATCCCGTGATTTTTCATGTTAAATGAGCTTATTGTATAACAAGTAAGAAAGCTCTAGTCAGGGTGCCCGAGTAGGAGATACCCTGATTCCAGTCCTATTTGCGTTTATTAATATTTTCGGTAGTTTGTATCGAGTATTAAAAAAAAAAGAAAATAAATAAAAAAACGATATTACGAGACCTGGATTCGAACCTGGATTGTTTGCGCAACGTGCACCAACTCTAGCAACACTGCAACTTCATAATTAAAAAAAAAAACGAAACAGGGAAAAGTGTCTCGTCCCCGCGAGGATTGAACCCAGGACCAACCGCTAACAGACGCCGTCTCTAACAACTCAGCCACTTCATTGGCTGATCAATAAGTTGCAAATTTGAAGTAAAGCTAATAATTCAGCACAATTCACCCGCAATTTCGATTCTTCGAATTGAAAAGAATACTCGCATTTGAATGTTTATGTGCACACGCATAGGAAAAATCATGTTTTTATTTGATAACAATTAAATGCGAATAGTTATCGAATATTTGAAAGAAACTTGACCTGC